GGCGGGCGCCAGCCATGGCTGCTGCTGCTCCGCTCGTGACGAATTCACAGACTAGGGCCGAACCCAACCGAGGGTTTAGGGTTTAGGGTTTGAGAGAGCGGTCCGCGGCAATGCTAGGGTTTAGGGTTTAGGGTTTACATGGACTCTGAAGGTGACAAACTGGTCTCCCTTTCGGTCCAAAATTTGGAAAGACAAAAACGAGCAGCGAGAGGCTTCGTCGCGTCTCATCAGCCTGCTCCACAAACCCTAAACCCTAAACCCTAAACCCTAAACCCTAAACCCTAAACCCTAGGTCCGGGGCCCTAGACCCTAGACAGCAAGCCCACGCCAAAGACGCTAGGGCTTGGTGATTATACTGGAAAAAGTCTGTCGACAGACTCGGCTAGGGTTTAGGGTTTAGGCTGGGGTTTAGGGTTTTGGCTAGGGTTTAGGGTTTGAGCTAGGGTTTAGGGTTTAGGCGAGGGTTTAGGGTTTACGAGAATACTGCGTCGCAGAAAGGATCCGTGAGCGGCAGCTGCAGCAGCTCTGCTGCGGTGTACATACACTTGAGCAGCCGCTGCATGTAAGCAGCAGGCGGCAGCTGCTGCAGCAGCGGCTGCTGCTGCAGCACTTCCTCAACAAACTGGACCTGCAGCTGCAGCAGCAGCAGCAGCAGCAGACGCAACACAGTGGCAGCAACGGACAGCATGCAGCAGCAGCAGTAGCAGCAGTCCTCGGGCCGCCGCGGAAGAAGCTTGGCGCCGCGCCGCTGTAAACCCCTTTCTAGGGTTTAGGGTTTAGGGCTTAGGGTTTACCTGAGGGTCCCTGATAACGCCAAAGTGAAGACAGAGAGGCAGCAAACGGTGCAGCGGAGCAGCACGAGCGATTCTCCTCCTCAAGATCTGCAGCAGCAGCTGGCGCGCAGCAGGAGACAGCTGCTGCTGCTGCTGCTGCAGCAGCTGCTGCAGCCGCTTCTGCTGCTGCCACCCACAAACTGCATCCACTAGAGCCTCTTCTTCCTCAAAAGAGAGCGCGTCATT